GTGTGACCTCATACATATATATATATATATATATATATATATATATATATATATATATATATATATATATATATATATATATGGGGTAAATTTAGGCAGAAAGTATTCATCCAAACAAGTTTTAATCAAACATGTTTGGTTAAAAAAATCGAAAAATGGTGTCTGTTAATATTATATTGTATTTTTCCAGTATTTTTGATAAGATGTTAAGTATTGCGCTCAAAGTAGTATATAAACTACCAGAAGTTAATATTTTGTTATTTTTGTTCAAGTGCTTTCATCTTTTGATGTCATTATCAGGAACTGATTTGGTATCTGTGTGTTAGTTACTTTGTTTGCATCCTGGTATTCTTTTGGAAGCTGGACATTTATGCACAAATTAGACCGCAATACTCAACACCTTATCCGAAAATTAGAAAAAAAATAAGCAAATATAACTTTTCTATTTTATTTATTATATATATATATATATATATATATTTAAAATTATATATATATATATATATATATATATATATATATATATATATATATATATATATATATATATATATATATATAAAATTTATATATATATATATATATATATATATATATATGATGGAATATATTGTTTGAAGGTGTGCTATATTTATGGAATAAAGTGGTCAGTATCAGAGATAGAGCGTATGTAAATATGAATATAAAAGTGAACATTGAAGTCAATACTCAGTGGCGATAGGCTGTTTCGTACCTGTCGCCTCTGAGTGTTCACTTTATATATATATATATATATATATATATATATATATGTGTGTGTGTGTGTGTGTGTGTGTGTGTGTGTGTGTGTGTGTGTGTGTGTCTGTGTGCGTATGTGTATGTGTGTACTATAGGCCGAACGTCGGTGTCAAAGCGCTGGCTTAACAAGAATTACCAAAAATCGAAGATTGCATGCCGTTTTGAAAACCGATTTACCAGTTCACTTTTCGCAAGAGGGACTTTATCTTTCTGATAGGTTTTATCATACAGGCTATAATAATAACAACAAAAGCAACAACAACAACGAAATTAAACCATTCTTTCATCAAATGTTAGTATGTATGTATGGAGAGTGTGAGTGAGAGAAAAGAGAGTCAGTGAGTGTGAATGCCAAAACAAAACTTAATGAAAAGATTGTCAATTTCACACTATAAATGCACATCAGAATATTTATTTTTTCTAAGCATTTCACGCTAAGCAAGGCAGGAGTGCCACTACCACGCAAGCGTTTACAGAGAGCTAGAGTAACTGTAGGTGAGATGCCAGATCAAGACCTATCACATTGCATATCCATCTCTGGGACCTCGAGATGAACAGCGGGGCACAAGATCATATACAGCAACGGTATTCGATGCAAGTAATGGTAGATTTGTAGATTATAAGGATGGACTTAGGCGAGAAAAACCTTATGGCGTGACACAGAGAAGCAACTTTACTTGCGGTAGAAAAAGCTATTGATTCAATGTAGTTGTTCCACCTCATGTCAGTAGAAAACCTTATTCAGTATTTTATTTATTGAAAGTACAAGTAAAAAGGAACTGAATATATGTATCATACATAGCCTTATGGTCTCCCTTAGGTGGGAAACGGACAAACATCATACAAAGTTTACTTGCATGTCCCTGCTGTCCATATCTACAAGAGCTCTATAGTGAACACTACGTTTTCGTGTATATACACAGTTTTAAACAAGATTATTATATATATTTAAACAGTAAAATGACTTGCCGCTTGTATCAGAGTATACAGTGAGCGTTGGATAAATTTTTAATTTCACATTTGCGCGTTGTTTGTTTTCAATTTTGTCGACTGCACAATATAGTAGGGTCCGTTGGGTGTCGTCTGTGAGAAAAAGAGCACCATGATGCAATTCACTACGCCAGAAATTTGGAAACTTGTGTGTTTGAATGCATTGTAATATGTTTTGACTAGTTTTGTAATGTAAATTTACACACATAGTTCTATTGATAACATTTCTTTCCTTCATGTGGTCATGTATGATATCATAGAACCGCATTACGAATTTTACGACAGGCGTCTTCATCTCCACGACCGTTATCATCGCATAACAAACTTCTATGTTAAACATAACACGATATCGTCTTTGATGGTGAACATCTCCGTTGTAATGTCCATAGAAGTACTCTGATGATGGTTCATCTAAGTCGAAAGAGTAGATCGAGGAACAGCATAATAAAAAAAAAAAATATACAAATGTTGGACAGTTTTTATCTTCATTTTCTCCTGAAACTAAAGCCATTATACAAGCTTAGAATGACTCGTGATCAAACATAATAGACATTCGTTTTCTGTTATATTTAAGAATATATATATATATATATATATATATATATATATATATATATATATTGTATTTTTTATATATACAAACGAATTACTTAAATGTAATTGTTTCCGACTCCACAGTTACGTGTATTGTGCCCAATTTTCAAGGGATTAATTCGTATTAAATATTTCTAATTATAATAATTATCCTTTTTTTCAGTTTTCATATTTGCATCTTTTTCGTGTTATGGATGCGCGCATATTCATTTTTTACATGTGCTCACATGTTCTTTCCTAAACTTAATTGTTTATCAACTGTATATTTTGCAAATTTTAATTTTCATTGTTATATTTATTTGTATGTTTATACTTCATTTTTCTTCTAAACACAGTTTTCATTTTCTATTATTAATACTATATGGGTGAACTTTTTATGATTGCCCATTTAATTTTAGTTTATATATTTTTTTCTTTCTGACTCAATATGTATTTTGATAATGTTCCTTTATCTGTCCATTTTAAATAAGGATTAATATATCTTTCTTTAAAATTTGTTTTACTTCCTCCTATATAAAATTTTTCTTCCGTGTTAATGTTATTTGATGCAGTTGCTTTATATATTATATTATTACTTATTAGACATTTATCATTAAATGGATAATTGTTTCCTTCCCAATTTATTGTAGGTATTTTTCTGTTTTTTTGTCATTGTAATTGCTATTTTGTGTTTAATAATTTTATTATTCTTATTTATTATTTTTTCCATATTTCTTATTTTAATTGTATTTTTATTAATGTTTTTTGATATTTTAATACTTTTGGGAAAGTGTTTTTCAATTTATTAAATATATTTTTCCCATATTTGTTTATATTATTATAAGGTGGATTAAACCAAATTATATTTTTTCTTTTATTTTTGCAAGTATTATTGTAAGTTATGTATTATAATTTACTCCAATAATCACTTGTTCTTAATGCTGAATCAATGAGTTTTATTTTCATTAAATATTTTTATATTTCTAGAATTAGTTGCGATTCTTTTATTAATAGATATCGGTATATCCTTAAATACATTAGGTGGGTGATTTGAATTATATATATATATATATATATATATATATATATATATATATATATATATATATATATATATATATATATGGGATAACGATATATATTTTTTATATATCAAGAAGAGTTCTAGTGGAAAGATATATGACAAAGTGGAATTTTTTTTTTGTGCGACGATTTTCGTGTGACGGGTAATATATATATGTTTGCGAGAGAGCGATTCTGTGGTTTATATAGTCAAAGTGGAAATGATAGACGTAAACTCTTTAATCTCTTCCTCGACTATTTTTTGTGTGTCCAAGCACAGATGTGATGAAATGGGCCGATATCCTTTAAACACTCCTTACCACATACCGAACGAATCTGCTAATAGAAACAGTTATTTCCGTTTTCCTTCTACAGGCTTGTTACAGGGAGGTTATGCTGCTGCCATAGGTATTCATATTTGGACTGAGAATTAACTTGAACAAAATTCAACAGTCTCTACCAAGTGCAGAGCTTAAGTTTACCTTTCTAAACTGAAACTATGATCTGGAATTGTATTGAGAGTATAGATGGCATACACCTTGAATCCGTCATAAAAAATCGGAATACGTCATTAATAAATTCTAAACACAGTGTATGGATCTGTTCTAAAATATTAGGCTAATTGATAAGAAAATTGAACACAAGATACGTTGTGCCAGGATTTTATCGAGCAGGGGAAACACTTAATAGCTCGAATAATATTCTTAAATAGTTTCGTTAGATATAAACTCATAGGGATGCCATGTATGGCGTCCAACTTGTTCCGATATCTAAACTATCAGCTATATACAACAGTGTTCTCAGATCAATGATTAAAAATGGCTTCGAGCGAATGAGTCTCCTGGGTCTTAAAACACACATTGCCTCATCAGATCTTTATAGACTGGCGCTGTTAAATCAACGAAACTTAATCAAATAACATAAGCATTTCTCACATGAAACGGTAAATCCTAAAATTTCCATTTCCATATTGCATCCAAGCTCACTGGATCTTAATTACAAGTTTTGAGATGGATCTCATAATCTGTTGCGATCTCATATATATATATATATATATATATATATATATGAGTGTGTGTGTGGGTGTGTGCATATGTATGTATGTGTGCGCGCGCGTGTGTGTGTGCGTGCGTGCGTGCAAGTGTGTTTGTGTTTCTAAAAAATTAATGTATTTATTTTTTATTATAGTGGATACATCATATTTGAAAGAGACGCCCCATTTTTATTTATTAAATAGATTTATTACCTCTATCTCTCTGCGCTTTCGAGAAATCATAATAAAACAAATGTGTACTCGGACCGGGAAAGAACCTGCGCACCCTACACACACACAGATATATATATATATATATATATATATATATATATAGGAAAATATTGAAAAAATTACATTAACACGAAGGTACAGTATAAATGAAATATGCAGATGTACATTATTGTGTATGTGTGTCATCATCTCTGTAAGTGAGTGTGTGCATCTATGTGTATCACCATGTGTGTGTTTTAGCGTGTTTATGATTTGTGTAAATTTTTATGCTTACTTGCTAGGAAGACATAATTTTATAAAACTCAAAATAGGATCCGAAATAAAATTAGTATCAAGAATAAATTTCGAGAAAAGAATGTTGTCTGAAAGAAAAAAGAATGGAAGAAATGAGAGGATTTGAAACAGAGAGAGAGAAAGAGTTAAAGAGAGAAAAGGAATAAAAGAAAAACACAAAAAAAATGATAGCGTAGATGAAGAAAGGAAAAAATGAGATAGAAGCAATTATCATAAAAAATAGAAATCTCTCTGTGTTTTCATTATTAAAAAAAGATGACCTAAACGTAGGAAAGTGAAAACGAGTAAAAGTGATGGAGAAAACCGGAAAAGAGAAAAAACGAACAGAAAGTTGAGAGAGAGAGAGAGGAAGTGGAAAAGACGAATGAAATGAAAGAAAGAAAAAAACGGAGAGTGGAAAAAAAAAAAAAGAAGGATTGTGTTAAGAGAGAAAAGAGGGAGGATGAAATGAAAAAAAAGAACGGAACAGAGAAATAAAACAGTGTTAAGAGAGAGAGAGAGAGAGAGAGAGAGAGAGAGAGAGAGAGAGAAGGAAGTGGAAAAGACGAATGAAATGAAAGAAAGAAAAAACGGAGAGTGGAAAAAAGAAAAGAAGGATTGTGTTAAGAGAGAGAAAGTGAGGGGGGATGAAATGAAAAAAAAGGAAGAACGGAACAGAGAAATAAAAGACAGTGTTAAGAGAGAGAGAGAGAGAGAGAAAGAAGAGAAGAAAAAATAAAGAAATAAAAGAAGAGTGTTGGAGAATAATAGAGAGAAGGATAGAGAAGTAAGAAAATGTGAGATAGACAAAAAAGGAATTAAAGAGGAAGAGAGTGAAGGTAAGGGGCTAATAGTAATGGAGAGAAAAGGAAGAGAGAAAGGAGAGAGCAACAATAAAAGAATGATAGAAAGTGAGTCAGTAAAAATAGAAAGCGACAATAAAGAGAGAGAAGGATCTCGACAAAGAGAGATGAGTGAATGGAAGTGAGAAAAGACGAAAATGAAAGCGAAAGATGGAGAGAATATAAACAGAATGAGAGAAAAAGTTAGAAAGACAGAGGAAGAAAGTGAAAGGAAGAAAGTAGAAAAGATAAAGTAAATCATTACAAAATCTGTCATAAAAAAGAAAATAAGCCTGAAAATTAACGAGCGTAACAACATCCCCGTTTCTATCTATAAATAATCGGCAAAAAGTTCTATGAAATTCAGAGGTTTGTTTGCAACTGCTCCTGATACTTTGTAGATAACTTTTCGTCGACTGTCTAGACACAGCGGCAGAATGGTCTCAAAATTGGTTTTAATAATATAAAAACAGGATATTCCTAGTGTATATCATTATTTCTGTTCAAATATTGTTAGTTTTGGTAGTCATTTTGCTGCAAGCGCATTATCCCCAATTTGGTACAAATGAGCAGCCATTTTCCTCTGATATTTACTAAATACGCCACCACACATAATAAAGAAAATAAGATGGGACGCCTAGGCAGCATGACTGTTCAATATGCGAAAGTTTCAATATGGGAAAGTTTTTCAATGTGGGTGAGGTTCAATACAGAAGCGGTTCAGTATGGAAAATGTTCAATAATAGAAAATTTCAGTATGGGAAATGTTGAATATGGAAATGGTTCAATATGGGAAGGGTTCAATATGGCAATATTTCAATTTGGGAAATGTTGAATATGGAAATGGTTCAATATGAGAAAGGTTCAATATGGCAATATTTCAATTTGTGAAATGTTCAATATAGGAAATGTTCAATATGGGAAAGGTTCAATATGGGACATGTTCAAATAGGAAATGTTCTATATGGGAAATTTTAAATATACAAATGGTTCAATATGGGAAATGTTCGATATGGGAAATGTCCCATACGAGAAATATTCTATATGAGTGTTATACTGGAACACACCTATTCTATAGTTAATAGTAGTAGTAGCAGTCGCGAAGTCGCTCAGTGAGTTGGTCAGTCAGTCGATGTCGGACATTAAAGTATCAGCTACCACGTCGAACCCATTTTAGGACCGACTTAGTGAAATACAAGCCTCCATTGTGAAACTTCTCTAAACAATGAGAAATGCTTAATGTGGAAATGGACTATATTGGAATGGTTCAATATGGGAAATGTTCACTATATGAACGTTTAAATATGTGAATGATTCGCACACATGAAATGATCGGCCGTCCTGTCACCTTTCTGTGTTCGAACGTGCACCTTTGTCAATGTCGAATTATTCCTGCCATATTGCTTCAGAACTTAGATGTTCTTGTCTTTCTACATATTTCTTTTCTGAAAATGTGTTAATTACCCTGGATTATTGTGAAAGATAGTGAAATAGTTTCCCATTGTTTTCTCCACAATTTTAAATATACATCCGGATTCTGGTGGGGAGGTTGGTGATTTTGAGGAGCGTGAAACGACTTCTTCATTGGTGTTGTTCCACGTCCCAAACAGATCCTGGGTGATAGCCGCTGTTAGGATCCAAGCTATGGGCAAATAGTGAACCCCAAGCGTAACACAATGAAAGTATAAAAATCACATTTTATAGCAAAAATACCTGTAATACCTATTTGTAGTAAAATGAGCAGGAATACATTTTATAGTAGAATTGCCGGCGGTGCATTCTATAGCAAAATGACCAACAATATACTTTATCTGTAGGTGAACGCTTACAGTTGTTTTCAGATTATATTTAGTTAAAACCATAAAATGATGTACACAATATTTAGATTTTGGTACTGGATGAGTCAGAAGTTTAGCAAAACCAAACAACCAACATGAGAGCAAAACCAAACTACCAACGTGTAAGAACTTTTATGATATTCATGCATATAATTTCCTACAATTTCTTAAAGAAATCAAACTGTATTCCAAAATATTATTTCAACAAATCTCCAGCATAAAACACACATATCACTGCCTCTAGTAATTATGTTCACACAGACATATATATGAACAAAAGCAGAGTATCATTTGCCATGTATTGTGAAACTAGAATAACATATATCATATTTTTATTACTTCGAGTTTCCCAAGAAAATTAACCCTTTAAGTCCTGCGTTCCTGAATAATTTAAATCCTTCTGCCTGAACACCTGAGACAAAATTCGCAAATAATTGATATATAATGTTTAACAGTAGATATAAAAATATTTACAAGTGTTTACCTACCGTTCAACCGACAGCTTGGTATTAAATTTTTCTCTACAACTGTTTAACCGGTGGCCGGGCATTATGTTATTTTTCTCTACCATCGATAAAGCGGTAGTCAGGACTGAAAAGGTTAAATTTCGGCATTAAATAACCGATAAGGAGATGATATGCCATTAAACAAATCTACAAGTGTTTTGAATTCAAACTTCTCCCTTTCTTGCCATCCAGGTCTATACAGATATATTTTGCTATTTTATCCTTACCTAGTAAGAGATGAGGGGATTCAGGCCTTTCCTAAGGGAAGCTGTGGAGGAAGGAATACAAAAAAAAATGAGTCGGATTTTTGTTTAACCCGATTCGCCAGTTTCAGTTTCTGCGTGAATAACCTTTACACTTTCATGCCAATTCCAGACTAAAACACGTGAATAAGTTTCAACTATTTTCATGTTCGACTGAACATTCATTAGTCCCAGGCATGGAAAAAAAAAAACTTTCCTTGTGAATGCTGAAGTATTTAGAAAATAAACTTGACAGTAAATACAGATCTGACTCAACTGATACGAAAAAAAAAAGATCTGCGAAACGAGACTGCTGGATATCCTAATATTGTGGGCGCCAATAATTTTATATTTCACAATTATTCGTAAGATATCAGACAATAACAGACAAGAATATATACTACGATGGTTGGAGAATTTCATATTTTGACATACAGGACGAAAACTTACAGACAGAAATCCGTACACAACTTCATACATAGATGATATCAAATTACTATAGTTTTACTAAATGTTCAGCCAGTAGAAGGATAAAGAACCACTCAATGTAGAGGATTACTTGATATAAGAGGAGGAATATGTACAAATTAACAGCATATGTGCGATAGATAAGGGTTGAGCATAAACTTGAACAGATTAAGACTGTAGTGTTCAAGAAAGCATCCTCTCAGGAGTCTCTTACATAAACTAGAAATAATTAGAAATAAACTGTATGAGATGTACTTCCTTCTTAAAGGTGTAATATGAAGAAAATCTGGATGATTTGATCCTGTATACGTTGCATGTCTTTTATATAACGGTTGAAATTGGTGGAACGAGGGAATGTAGCTCATCTGAACTTCTTTTTTTCATAGATGAGCAAGAGCGTTTTTTGATTATGGAGAAAACAAGTCAGATTACTGCCCTCGTCATTGTTGTTGGTATCTACTCTCCATCCGGATAACCTTCAAGAAATTCGAATTGAACCCTTTATTTTATCTTCGGGCATGAATTGTTTATGTTTCCCTGATTATGTCTAGGGATATAGTGTTCTTTTTTTAGTACTTGTCATTTATGGTTAATTGTGTTTCCATTAAATTTAAGCTACACCGACCTCGGTTTGAATTCACATTTATTAATAGGTCAATAAATTCATGAACTAACACTTGAAATCTCTAGTTTAACCGAAACATGATATTAACCTGAGAGATAAGGACACTAGTTCAAGTGTAAATAATGACAACTCATTGGTGAAATTCTGAGTGAAATTTAAAAATCTTTACAAAACAGAGATAATGCTATATCTAAATTTTAAAGTTTTAATATTTTTATCATTAATATAACAACACTTCCTCGTAATTTGATATAAATAAATAAAGACCAATAATACAAAGTTATAATGATGAAGAAAAAAATGGGTGGATGTTTTCATTTTTTGAAATGGCGTCTAAACTTGACCTTAAGAGCGGTCTAGCGAATTTTATAGAACTGATTTCATCTTACATCATTGTATTTTCAGTTTCAGTGTATTTTTCTTGCACAGATTAGCCTCAAATTCCAAATATATATATATATATTCTTCCAATCTTCTACGGTGAAATTTTTGTAATAGTGAGCCCATTCAAGTCTCTTGGCTTTGTTGGCTTTGCTTATTAGCGGCTTAAACCTTCGTGTACAAGATTTGTAGCCTTGTTCTAACAAAATTTGTAACCTTGTTCTGACGTACTGTTGAAGAGGCAAGATTAACACCTTGCTCTTCGCTTAGAATGGCTGCAATTTCTTGGTTAGTTATAGTCCTATTATTCGCAACTTCTATCTTGATTACCCTGCCAGTTCTTTTTCTTTCGTCCACTTGTTTCCTTCCTTGGAGCAGGAGTGGCGTCATTATGTGCCCTAAGCACTCGAGAGACAGTTGATTGCAAGGTTATAGCAATTTCTGCAACTTAGATTTGCCTGCCTGCTTTTGAGAGAGCAATAATAGATGCCTTAAGTGGTTCTGATGCGTGTTTGTACCCTTTCATCTGGTTAGTGACTTCAGTGGCTATTTCAAGCTGTTTTTATACCGTATGACGGTTTCTGGAATATTCTGGAATACTCTAGATTTGATTTAAGCTGTTCTAGAATTCTCTAGAATATTGTTCTGAGTGTATTGTAAAATAGTTTTCAATATTTTGTCAAAAGCTCTTTAAATTTACCAGTTTAATCATTAGAATGCGATAACTGAGTCACTTTTTTTTGCACAGAGTTCTTTCCTGAATCTCATTTATATCCAAAGTTATAATTATCAATAGAATATCTTAGGGTGAATAAACTTTTTTCCTAGGTGGTCGGGAAGGGGTCTTTATATCAGTAAGATAAAAAATGTTAACCCCAAAAACAATAGACAAAAAATATTTTTAGTAAAAAAAATCAGGTGAGTCACTTTTATCGAACAGCTCCTCCCCTCTCTCTCTCTCTCTCTCTCTCTCTCTCTCTCTATATATATATATATATATATATATATATATATATATATATATATATATATATACAGCCTTGGCCAAAATTATTTAACTTCCAATGAGAAATCGAAATTATGATTCAAACTTATATATTTAAAGGTTAAGAATAGTGGAATAAACATTAATAACAACAATCAATATTTGGTATGTCCTCCTTTTGCCTTTATAACAGCTTTTATTCGTTTTTGCATCTTAT